AAAAATAGAGCAAATGTTAATTTTTGCTTAAACAAAAACCATAATTTAACGTGGTTTAGAAGAAAAGTTGCGCTTCTGTATTAATTAATTACTAAAAAATTAATTTTAAAGCCTTGCAAAAATATTTATGAAATATAACATAAATGAATAATATAAAAAAATCAAAAGAAATATCTTTTAATCTCTTTTTTCTTGCTTCCAAAAAATTATTTTAGCTTAAAAGCAAATAAATAACATTACTATTGTTTAATAATTTAAAAAACAGTATTGAATTTTATTGATTTTCTTGAATAACATATATAATAACAATTTAAAGCGTTTCAAAAAATAATTTGAAATAATTTGTGCTAATATGTTAATTCTCTTGAAGAAAAAAGAACTTTTATGAATTTTTTGAAAATTAATAATAAAGCAAACTTACACAATTAGCTTTTATGGCGTTGGCMTATTAATTTTATTACCTATAATATTGTTAACCAAGGTTTTAGTAAAATTTTATGAGAAATATTTTTATTTGAGGTTAGCATATACATATACTTCACATTTGCAATTTTCACACATTTTTTACAAAACGTAAAAAAAAAATGTTTTTCTGTAAATAAAAGTACAAGGTTCCTAATAACGTTCGTAAAAATTCAAAACGTCGCTGTCCACATAAACACACATACATTCATGCATATATATTTTTGAGTTTTAGTTCTGCCTCTCTTTGTTTACATCTTTTACATAATGCGACTAGCTACTGTTTGTCGAACGCTTTACAGCATTTAGCTAATTATTGTTTATAAAACAAAACAGTTCTAGCCAAATAAAGTCGYAACTACTCCGATTTACAGTTTATCAGTCAACCTGACGAGCATGAATTGCGGAATTTTCCTCTTGGCAACAACGGCACAACAACAAATGACGTCGTGTGGGGCTAACGGCACTTGACCTTATATAATATAAAGATTTAATTATAAATTTCTGTGGTTGAAGGTGGGAAAAGTGGTTAATTAATAAGAKTCGAATTAAAGAATTATAGGTTTGATTTATTCAGTAACAAYACAGCGTCTTTTCGTCTGGCTATTATGCGACTTACTGACTACTATATACTTTGACTATATAACGGCGMGTATATGCTTGTGTCTGGCGATGGCGTACTGCTGTACGTGTGACTCGACGTGTGTGTGTGTTGTGCGTGTATGCATTACTATCTCCAACATTCTCCCTTAATGCAAACACGTACACAGCTGCGCTATGTCGTATYCCTCACGCCCATTGCGTGTGTGAGTTTCTCGTAYCTCTCCTTGGGTAGGGGTTTCGTTAAGATGTCGGCGATGTTGTCATCTGATGCGATATGCAGCAAATGGACTGCTCGATCCTTTACTGCCTCACGAATAAAATTGAAATGAATTCTGGCGTGCTTCGTGCGATCGTGAAACTTCGTCGCCGTTGACAATTTTATTGCGCCCTGATTGTCGCTGTGTATCAGTCCGTCTGATAGCTGGGGCTCTCCCAATTCTCCGGCTAGTCCTCTCAAGTACATAGACTCCTTCGTCGCTTCTGTGAGGGCCTTGTACTCCGCTTCTGTTGTTGATAATGCCACCGTTTTCTGCTTCTTGGACTTGCAGCTGATTGCGGCTCCTCCAAGTTTGAAAACATATCCAGWATATGACCTTGAATCCACCGGATCATTTCCCCAGTCAGCGTCTGCGTACCCGACGATTTGATCAACGTCAGTTTCTTCGTAGATGAGTCYCATTYCTGGCGTTCCTTTCAAGTACCTGAGTACTCGTTTTGCAGCACCCCAGTGCTYCTCGGTCGGGTTCTCATTAAACTGGCTCAGCACGCTTACACTGTGCGCGATGTCTGGCCTCGTCGCTACTGCCAAATACATTAGAGATCCCACTGATTCTCTAAATTTCGGGTTTTTAGTCGGCTTGCTCGGGCCTGTTGACGGCTTCAATTTCGACGTTGGACTCGCTGGTGTACGATGTGGTTTACACTCGCTCATGCGAAACTTCTCCAAAAGTTCCTCGACGTATCTGCGTTGGTTCAAACTGATCCGGCCCTTTTCCTGTTTGAATTCAATTCCCAGGCAGTATTTTGCTACGCCCAAATCCTTAATTTTGAATTCTTTAGTGAGTCCGCGTTTCAATTTCTCYWCCAACTCCGGTTTATTCGACGTCGCTAATATGTCGTCCACGTAGGCTGATACCAATAGTATTTCCTCCGATGTCTTGTGTACGAACAAACATGGATCAGAAATMKTTGGTTTCAATCCGAGCTTCTTTAATGAACTGCTCAGTTTCCCATGCCATTTTTCGCCGGATTGTTTTAATCCGTATATCGACTTGTATAATCTGCAGACGCAGCCGCCTTTCAGGAGTGTTTCCAACATCCTCGTCGCATTTTTGTGTAAGTCGGAATCTCTTCTTTCGCTGCGTATGATTTCTTCCAGGGCTTCCTTTAATCCCACTGGAACTTCCATGTACAATTCTTCGTCGACCTCA